ATACTTGGCGGCGGAGTGGCTGCCGGATACGCCGCGCTTGAGTTTGCACAGCAAGGAATCGCTCCCGGCGAACTATGCATCATATCTGAAGAATCCGTGAGCTCCCCTTTCCTCCTCCTCCTTCCTCTGATTTGAATCATTGTGGTACTGCTGTTTTCCCGAAAACAACTATCCCGTGTCCAAAATGGAAATTTGGAGGCGAATTTGTGATCTTTAAGGCAATCACCATCCGCTATAATACTTATTGCAATACTTATGTTATCATAACTGAATTTCAGAAGTAATTATTTTCTTGGGTTGAGAATGTAGTGAGAAAAGTATGTGAACAAATACCTTGGACTTCACTTAGGGATTGATATTCATGTTTTCTACAACGTGTTAGATGAAATTTATTGGCTTAGGTAATGTTTTAGAGATGTAATTGCATTCTAATACCTATTTCTTTGTCATTTTTCATGGAAGTGCTTTGCACTAATTAACAGAGTTCGTTTTGAGTTTTCCAAACTATTCATTAGAAAGAATTGAAATTGTCTGCTACTTTTTTAGAAAGGGGTTGTATGGTTGCATGTATTTAGAATTCAAATTGACTGCTACTTACTACTAAACAGCTCTTACTTGGAAAACAACATTTGGGATTGATTTTTTAATACATACTGATATGATCAGTTATAATTGTTTGAGAATCTGACTTATTCATAAATTTTGGAAGAAAAAAATAATCATGTAATTAGCCAACAAGACAATATGAGTGGTTTTTTCTATGTGATAGATGCATACTAATTTGGTTACTAATTCTCTATTATTTTACATTTTATTTAGTTTGAATACAGTTATTCTCAATTTTTGTTGATTATTAATGGCTAGACTTTCTTTTTCCTTAGAGTATACAAACTTAATGCAGTATCTCACGCAACTTCAAAAAATTTTATTCAGCTGTTTCCTAAACATGATTTTTACACTTTTGTTGATTGATAACAAGATTTTCTATGTGAAATAGCTGTTTGTTTTCATGTAGACTGCTCCTTATGAAAGGCCTGCATTGAGCAAAGGATTTTTGCTTCCAGAAGGTATTAGTGGTTTTATGTTGAATGCATGATACTTTTTTTAGGACTTGTTGTTCTGCAAAAGAATGTTGGGTCTGCATAGTATTTAATTTATTACTCTATTTTTGTGCATTTTCTGCTTCAGCTTTAAATAGCATCTTGAATTTTGGAACGGAAAATTCAAACGAGTGTATACTATTTTTGTTCTCATTTTTCCCATATGCATTTTGAATTTCTTTCTGTTTGCATATGAAACCTGTTAAGAAAATAAGTGAGCAACTGTATATGTTATGATGGTAACTAATTTGAGGAAATTTTTAACTATCTCTTAATAATTGCAATTATTCTCACTTTTATTTTTCTTACGTAATCATCTTGGAAGCCTATACATGGATGCCAATATTTAGTTAATAGGTTATATTTAATAACAAAGCGCTAATAGATGACCCATTTACTTATTGAATGCTGGCTAGCAAATTGATTCATTTGACTATTGTGAAACCTGGCATTTCATTAGTTATTGGAACTATTAGATAACAATGCCAAAAAAAAAAAAAAAAAAAAAAAAAAAAAAATTATGTAGCGATTCTTTGTGGTCATAGACTATTAAGAAGTTGGTTATGATACAATAAGACTAAGAGCTTATCAATCTTTTCTCTGATAGCAATTATGTTGGCCCCATTAATAAAAAAAAAAGTTCACTTTAGAATATTGTATGTCTTTTTGTAGGTAACCTAATGACCTGAAAAAGTTAAAAGCACATTTTTCTCGTAAGGTCCTATGTAGTGGCTTAATACAAAGCTTTGAACATGCAAACTAATTTTGACTAAAATTCTTTCAATTGAGTTTAGCTTTCATGTTACTTGGCCTATGAAATTATATTGTGATAATCTTGCTTGCATTTAATTGCCAATAATCATGTTTTCATGAATGAAATAAGCATATTGAAGGTAAACATATTAAAGTTGATTGTCACTTCATTTGAGGTGTACTTTCCAAGAACCTTTTTACTTGAAATTCTACTAATTCACAACAGTCCATGAATATCTTGACAAAAATTTCAGGTCATTTGTTGTTTTCTCCTTAGCAACATGTTGTAGCTAATAAACAAGTATGCTTCAACTTGAGAGGAAGTTTTTGGCTTAAGAAACACATTATGAAATTGATAATAGGATATAATCTAATTTGAGAAAATATGCATTTACTTGTTCATAATTGTGATTAATTACACATTAAATATTTTATATTGTATTCATCCTATACAACTCTAAGTGTCTCTTATATTCATGCAAAATTTTTTCTCTTAACACTTTTTTTTTTTCGAAATATTACTTATGATATGTAAGTCAGTTGGAACTAGACCCTTCAAGGGGGCAACTTGTTAAGTGATAAGATTATATACATTCCTCAGGGGCATTTTAGAAAGCTTCACATATATAGTTACGCCTTCTCTAATATTAAAGAAGGCACTTAATTAGATTTCTATGGGAAAGTCAAAGTTAAATTGAAGGAAAAAAGCAATGCAATAGCTTTCTATTGGACAAAAATCCTATAATCATGTATGTTTTGGGAGCCTTGAACTTGGGAAAATGAGGATTGCTTCTTTTTCTGTTCATGAATATAGGAGGCCCAGGGGCTCAAATAGATACACATGGTGATGAATTTGCTTTATGATCTAAAGAATAAATCAAATGATTGTTGAACAATTTTACGAGACGATTTTTATCATGTTAGCTATTGCTTAAGAAATTGAAAATTATAGGTGATATAGAAACTCCATTGTAGTTATGTTCTTTGAAATTTACTATGGCAGTGATTTTCCTAATAATATTTAATCTAAGGGTGGATCTAGATAGATGTGGACCTTTTTTGATTTTTCAATGAAAATTCTTGATTCGTGTGCTCAAACAGAATAGATATGCAATTAAGACATTCAAAAAGTGGAAGACATAGGTTGAGAAGCAAATTGGAAAGAATAAAAGTTTGTTGAGGACTATAAATTAGTTGAAATTCATTTTTTCTAAAGTTTCATGAATTTTTTTGCCATAGAGAGGGCATCATCAAGCATAAAACTATTGTGATTATTGCTCGATAAAATTTAGTGGTAGAAAAGATGAACATAAGGCTTATGGAGAAAAAAGCATGTTATCTAATGTTGGTATGAGCACCAATTTTTTACTAGACTATTAATATTTCATTCTATTTGGTGAACAAATCTTTCCTTTCTACCATTGCCTTGAAGACTTGAAGAGTTGTGATTGAGTCTCCATCTAGGCTGTTATGTTCTTAGGGCCTTTGGTTGTCCTACTTATGCTAATGTTGAGTAAGATAATATGTGATCCAAGAGCTAAAAGAACGCAAATTTTTGGGTTGAAGGGGGCTTTGTTGTATGGACCTAAAGACATTTGATTTTTTGATTGTTAGAAATGTAAAATTAAATGAATCAGTTATTCTTGAACAGAAGTTAGAGCTAATTGATGTTTTGAGAGGAGATCAAAAGGCACGTAGAGCTACTTGATCTTTTGAGAGGAGATCAAAAGGTTGGTAAACATGTTAGATTTGAGTTTTAGCCGAAATAAGTTGATAGTTCCCTATATTAATTTATAAAGTTTGGATATCAAGATGTGGCATCATCATAACCATAACATAGCATTGCTTCTCATAGGTCCAAGAGGCTGATTAGACTACCTCGATGTTATAATTATGATAATTGCTCTATTCTTATTTAGCAGCTTATGTTCTAAATGATCAAGTTTGTTAGTGATATGGAACAATCCACTTATAAGCAATTTGCCAATAAAAGAAAATCAAGCCAAGTAGATCATAACCTGTAGAGTTAGAATCTTCTTGCAAAGTAGAATTTAAAATTTGGTTCAACTCATTATTGGTTTTAAGTGTTGGTGGTTGCAATGGTTCTTCTAATACAAAGAGAAAAATCAAACAGAAAATTATATCAGATACAAAACATGATTAATTGCACCGGGATATCTCCAAAATAAAAGTTTACACTTCAAGAAAGCTTTTTTTTTTTTGGCAATCAACCATTACTCCATCTCATTACTCCATCTGTATTTTTTTGTTTGTAGTTGCATTGTAGTACACAAACTAAAATAATTGGATATCGAAGTAGCTTTTAACATTGGTGATTTTGGATAAGGAGATTCACATGCAATAATTTTATGATTTGAAGTTTTAAAAAGAAGAATGTGTGTTAATTATAGAAGCTTTTGTAGTCTTATACAATCTCCAAGAAAGTTGTAAAAAATTTGATAGTTTTAGGATTAATCTTTTGTTTATGATAATTTCACTTCATTGTTATATTTATTGCAAGCATCTTATTGATATATCATTTGTATATCTAATTTTGTTTGTTCATGACAAGTTCATTGTAACTAAATCCATGTTATAGATTTGTTGTTTAAAATCTATTTTAATTAAGGCCTTTGAGGTGAAAGACAGCTTTACCCAAAAGTTTGTGTCAGTTGATCTTGTTCGATCAAGGCAAAGCTCTAATTGAATAATGATTGAGCTTGAGATACAAATTTTCACTTGAAACAAGCCTAACAAATTAATAAAGTTGTAATTTTAAAAATCAAGTTTAGTTAGCCTTCCTAGTTTAGATAAAATTAGGCTTACTAAATTTGATTAAACCTTTAATAAATCATATGATCAGATAATTGTTGACCTCATTTTTAGTGAGGT